TATGTCATTCTTTCTGGCACTTCTGGGTTTTGATCGTCTTTTCTTGAGCCTTCAAACGGGTTTGGGGTAAATCTCCTAGTAGAACTTCAATTCTTTGAAGAAAGTCAGCTTGCAAAGCTTGCTTATCTAACAAAAGCAATTCCGGACTTAGATGAATAACTTCAGCAAGTAATAAGGCCTTCTGACTATATAAAGATAAAACAGCTCATAGCGGGTAGTAGAATGCTTGGTGGTATGATAAGCAAATAAAGCAGGAGAAATGTACTGGTCCCACTCTCCTGAAAATTGAATAGAACATTTGGCCAACACTTCACAAAGAGTTCGATCAAAACATTCAGCCAGGCTGTTTGTCTGAGGGTGATAATAGGAAGAAAACTTATAGTCGACCTGGAATTGAGCACAGATGGCTTTGACAAGCTTATTGGCGAAATGTTTCCCATAGTCAGATAAGAGCTCACGGGACTTCTGTGCTAACAAATAATGTCTTCTATAAAAAAGGAAGTCACCGAAGTTGCAGACGCATCTGGAATGGCACAAGCCTCAGGCCATTTGGTGAGATATTCTGTGGCAATGGCAATATAATGATTTTCTCTTTTAGTAAGGCGCAGGGGACCAACAAGATCTATTCCTATTCTGTCGAAAGGTTGACCGATTTTAATTGAGTACAATGGTTCACGAGTTTGGGGTCTTTCTCGATGTTGGCAAGCATCATTTGACTTGACGTATCACTTAACATCTTCGCCCCATTTGTGGCCAAAAATATTGAATAAAATTTGTTGGAGGGTTGATAAAGTGTTAAAGTGTCTTAATAAGGGGTCAAAATGCATGCTAAAGAGAACAGCTGTGATTTCGTGGGATAATAAGACTCTTAAGAGTTGGTAGGGTGACTGGTGATGTTTTTTGCAAAGCACCTGGTTGATAATGACAAAATAGCAGATTTGATGTTGTAAAGATTTTGTTGTGAAGGTTGCAAATCAAGTCAGAAATTTGGGTTAATAAGATATTTAAAATATGTTTGATATTGATTATAGTCCATGGTGGGAAATAATTGTATAAAGGTTATTGTTAGAAAGAAAAGTAAGAGTTGTAAATAACCGATAGTACAAGAGGGAAGCCCGGATAGTCAAAATTGTAAAATTAGAGTTAAATTAGCAAAAGAATTTTTATTAGACTCGAGTAAATATACAAAACAGCGATAATGGGTGTAATGATCAATCGGTTGACTATTATAGTTCAAGATATGATGAGAAGATTTAGATTTTGGAACCAACGAATCGACAAGTCGGGATAGACTATCCACATTTGAATGGCAATGGCCTGTATGATGTTTGACCAAAAATTCGTACTCTTGTAAGGCCATTTTCTAATGAGCAAGACGTCCCTGCGGTAGATGATGGTGTAGTAAAGACTTAAGGGCCAAATGATCTGTAATAATGGTAAACCAAGAAACATGGAGTTATTGTCAAAAATAAGAAATGAACCAAACAATGGCTAGGCACTCTTGCTCAGTCACTGAATAATTTCTTTGTGCCGGGGTTGTGGTGCTGCTTGCATAATGAATTACTCTTTCTTTCACTTGAGAATCTTTTTGAGAAAGAATGGCTCCCAACGTGACACCTGACGCATCTGTGAAGAGGAGAAATTCTTGTGAAAAATCCGGATAAGCCAAGACAGAGGCTGTGATAAGCTTTTCTTTGAGGATATTGAAGGCATTCTCTTGATCCTCAGTCCATACATACTTGATGTTCTTTTTTAATAATCGGTTAAGCAGATAGGTGACATTCGAAAAGTCATGGATGAAATAACAATAATAGGAGGCAAGTCCAGGAATACATGCAGTTGTCAGAGATTAGTTGAGATAGGAAAATTCTTCACAATTTTTACTTTTTTCGGGTCAGTTGATATTCCATTCTCATTGACTATATACCCAAGAAATTTTAATTCTTCCTTGGCAAAGTGACACTTCTTCAGATTTAACTTGAGTCCTGCACTTTGAAGATGGTCGAATACTTCAGTTAAATGTTGAATATATTTATCGAAAAGGAGGAAAAGATGTTTATGTTGTTTAGGTAAACAACCACAAATTCTTCAATAATCCCTCTGAAAATTCAGTCTATCAATCTTTGAAACATCATGAGAGCATTGGTGAAACCAAAAGGCATCACGTTAAACTCAAAGGTACTGAATTGAGATATGAAAGCAGTTTTTTCTTTATCAGGAGGGTTCATCTCGATCTGCCAATAACTACTAACAAGATCAAGAGATGTATACCAAGAAGAATGCTGGAGGGTGTCTAAAAGATCATCAATCTAGAACAAGGGATAGCTATCCTTATTCGTTGATGGTGTTGTGATTGTGATAATTGATACAAAAATGGGTTTTGTCATATTGCTTGACAAGCATAACAGAAGAAGCCCAAGGGCTGTAAGAAGGTTGAATAAGGCCTTTCTGGAGCATCCTGTCGATTTCTGTCTTTAAAAATTCCCACTTCTTGGGGGATATACAATAATACTGCTGCTTGATAGGGAAAGCGTTTTCAGTAAAGATGGGGTGAGTAACAAGATTAGTATGACCCAGATCCTGAGAAGTCCATACAAATAAATCATCATATCCAACAAGTAAGTCTTCTAATTTTTCTTGGTCGTCTTTCCATAATTCTCCTATGTCTAGTTCTTGAAACGATCCTTCTGCCTGATCAAAGAAGAAATTATTACCGAATTCAGATTCGTTATCGTTGAAATTGAGGATACTACTATTACTTTCAAACTCATAATCATCATCACTTTCCAACTTCCACCAGGCATCACCTGATCTGCAACCCTTAGATTGTGCATTATATTCAGATGCCCTGGAGTATACACTTGATTCATCACAAGATTTATACAACTCCTCGTCTGTCTGGCAAGAATATCAGAAGATAACCTCTTTGTCCTCAAAGAACCCAAAAGATGGTCTTCAAGTTCCTCCTCCTCAAACTTGCTTTAAATTTCTTCTTCCGACTTGGACTCTTCGGATTCATCAGATTCTACAGTTTTTATCTTGGTGATTTTAGAGGGGCGATTATTTTGGATTGGGGTGTGTTGGAGTTTCCTGAATTCAACCAGAATGACAACTTCCTTATTATCTCATTGGAACGTCATTTCTGAGGTGTTATAGTTAATATTGGCTTTGACTTTGGAGAGCCAATCATTTTTCACAATGGCCTGATATAACGAAGCATCTGTAACCACTACATCAACAGAGACCGTGATACCTCCCACAGAAAAAGGGAAGTCTGAAATTTCATCGATAGCCCTTTTACTTTGACTATAGACAGTAACCATGTTTATTGTAAAAGGTCTTTCAACTTTGATACCCAATTTAGTGAGCAATGTGATGACACAACACTTCTGGAAGAGCCACTGTTAACAATGAGATGAATGATTTTGTCATAGACCATTGAATCACAATACAAACCGGTGGACTTAGAGGTGGACTGAAAACTAGTGAAAGCTCGAGCTCTTTTCTTGGAAGCTTTGTTCTATGAAGGCTCTCAACCAAATCTGTGCGAAAAGATGGAACCACCTTCAATAGTTGTCCTAACGTAATATTAGCAGGTTTATTATGGATGTCCGATATAATAGAGTATTGAAAAATAAGGACAGAAATTTGCAGAGGATAAGCTTCGGCTTTCTTCTTCCTAGGCACAGCCATTTTGACACCACCTCTACCCAACTTTGCACCTATTGCTGACTTTTTAGGAGCCCCTCAGTATTACCGAGAGATGTTATTTCTTCGTCTTGTCTTTCAAGAACTGGCTCATCGTACAAACATTTTTTATTGGCAGCCGTTTGTTCAGGATCTTTGGCAGAAAGGAATAAGGGATCATTGTCTTCAATATGGAGATTCAAAAAAGTCTGAGTCTCGTTCTCTTCAGTCTGGGCAGGGATGTTATTATTATTATTTGCCGAAAGGTTGTTTTGAGCACCATTATTCTGACCAAGAGGGATAAGGTTGCTTTTGTTAGCTATATTGTTTTCAGCAGCTTGAAGTAATAGGTTGAGACAATTCCAAGCATAATAACCCACTTGTCCACACCGATTACAAGAATACCAGAGAGTATTATTCCAGCTTCCAGGATTTCTACAGGGGTCACCTTGGGCTCTTGTAGCTTTGTCATCATCGTGGTAATGGCTTTGGTCAACTTGACAAGAACTTCTTCAGTCTTTGGAGGGCTGACTATGGAGAAACCAATTAGAGAGAGATTATTAGAAAGAGATTAGAGACCAGAGAGTTAGGGATAGCATAAGGAGAAACGTAGTGAATTGCCATTAAGTAGAGGTTTTAATATAGGGATTTTGTTTAAACGAATTTTCAAATGCCTTAGCACGTTCATAAGCAGCATTTAGGGTGTTGGGCATAAAGGGAGAAACCACAGTAGAGAGCTTAGGTTTAAGGCCATTAATGAACATCTGGGCCTTCGCAGTTCCTAGATAACAATGACCTACCGATTTGATATGCTGAAGAAGCTCCTCGATATACACATGATAAGAGTCAACTTCTTCAGTGGGACCTTGTTTATGTTGGGTTAATTAAGCAAACTATTTGCTCTTGAGGGTGGGAGTCCTAAATTAGGCAACAAAATGTGGGCGAAAACTCTGGCCTTGATGATTACGATCATTTCAACAGTTAATAACAGGTTAAATAGTTTTGGCAGCAACCCACCAAATAGCAGCAGTTCTCTTTAAATGAGGAATAACAACAGAGATCTTGTGGTTATCTTGAACCTGGTTAGCTTCGAACACCTTTTCAACGTCTTTCGGCCATGTGATGGGGTCTTTTTTTCCTCCAGAAAAATCAGAGTAAGAAACTAGGTTGAGTTTAAGATTATGAGCGAAGAGGTTAATAGCAGGAATATTAATTTGAGGAGCAGGATTATTTTGCATTGAAGGACGAGGTTGACTATTTGATGGGCCAAGAATGTCATGGGGTTATTATGTTGATTATTCTGAATGATGGGAGGCTGTTGATCGTTATCATCATTAGGGTCAATAAGAAGGGGAGCTTGGGATTGATTAGGGTTTTGATTCATGTCTTCTTCTGCGAAATTATCACTATTTTTGTAGGTTTCGTCATAAGGGTCTAACTTAAAACAATCAGTTTCTTGATAAGTGGCAAGAAATTTGTTTAGAAGAGTTGGGTAATCGTCAGGCTGTCCTTCATATTAAAAACTAAAGATGAAGGCTTGTAATAAACGATTGGATATTTGATTGAACTCAAAGTTGGAAAGTTTCTCAAATTGACGAATAGCGTGTTGAGAGAAAGAAGTAGCTAGTTGAAAAGTATTGAACCAAAGTCAAAATCTTTGGAATTGTGAAGAAAGAAGTTGAGGTTGGTGGCAAACAGAGCAAGAATCGTCAGGATAATACCGAGTTAGATAATTAATAGCTTGGGTAGTCATGCTGAATAGATAATGATGATGATTGTGTTCTGTGATGTTCCTAGTATGTTGTTTGAAATTATTTATACGATCCTGAAAACTGATAGGTAGGAGATTCCACACAATTGGCACCACATATTACTATTGTAATTTCGGGAGAGCATCAGTAATTGGGCCGGAATTAGATCAGTGATTGTAAACAGAAGAGATATCAGACAGGGTATATTGATAAAATAGGACAGATAGGCATAACGATAGGTGGATAGTTGTAATTATAATAATTATATAATATAAATTAATAAATAAGATCGTTAAGC